CCTCCCGGGAAGGCGGAAATCGAACTCATGCAGAAGTGGCTTTAGCTTCTCAGTGCTGTGCTTTAACCCACTGCGCCACCAGGGAGGGCCCAGACCAAGAATATTAAACAGATTGAGTTGGCTTTGTGTGGCATAGGGAAGATGTGCTTGTTGCTAACAAATAAGAATTTTTATTACTTAGCAATCAGCTGTCTACAGCTGTATTTGCTGCTTCAGAGTATAGAACACATATTAGAAGAGATCTTGCCCTTTGAAGAGTTAACAGAACAATTATGGAGGAAGTGTTACATATATAATAAAAATAGCTTATATTTGTATAGTTCTTTATAATTAAAATGTACTTTCTACATACCATTGTTACTCCCATCTTAATGATAAGGAAGGTAAGGCCAAGTAAAATAATGTGACTTACCCAGGATCACACAGGGGCACCTGATTCGGCTACTAATGACTCCAGGCCCTGCTTTCTATTCCGGCATCATATCATGCTGCTTTCCAAGAAGAAAAAATGCTGCTCTCTCTCTGTATATATAGAGCAGCATTTTTTCTTCTTGGAAAGCAGTATGATATATGTGTGTGTGTGTGTGTGTGTGTGTGTGTGTGTGTGTGTGTGTGTGTGTGTTACAGTGAAGGCCAGGGCAGTTAGACAAGGGCAGCTCTGGAGAGTGGGCACAGTCCTGTCAGGGGGAGACTTCATGCAGCAGGTGGGCTGAGATGCTTAATGAAGGACAGAGCATGGATAATAGAGAGGGTCTGAGGAGAAGTTGTCCAGCCAGAGGCATGGAACTCAATGGGAGCTGCAGTGTGAGAGGAGTGTGAGGAGGCTGGAGTCTGACTGTACTTCAGTATCCGTGTTGGGAAATATGTGGAGAAAGTGCATAATTAAAAGTTGGAAAGAGAAAGTATATGTCTTCTGCAGGAGGCAGCGATTGAGGAAGCCCTTGGGAAATAATGTGCTTCAGACAATCTCTGTCTCCATTTTCAGGATCTTTAGGCATTTCCCACAGGCAGCTTCATTTGAGCTTCCTCCAGCTATATATTTTTCTGTGGTTGTTTGTATCTTCTGGATTTACATTCTGAACTTTGTATCTTGTTATTTGATAATCCAAGAAATGCTGCCTTTTGTTTCTTTTCATTTTCTAAATTGTCTGCTATTTCCTTCATTGTATTGCACTCCCGGCAACTCTAATTTGGGCAACTCTTCTCTTTTGCCACTTGGAGATAATGTGTCTTTAGAAATAGTGTATAAATAACTTGTTATTTCTGCTCTTGATTTCATGGTTTTATTTCTATAGGGTATTTTTCCTTTTCAACTAAGCTGAAGAAATAACCACTCTGTCTTTGTCTTCCAGGTCTTACCTTGAACACAAAACCTCCATGAACTATATGCTGGCAACACGCCTCTTCCAGGACAGGTGGGGATTTGCCAGTCTTAACGGTTTTGTAGGATCAAATAAAAAAGTTAGGAAACTGTGCATGCAGAAGAAGGATATAAGCTATATAAAAGTCTCTATGTAAAATTTCTGATAAAAGGAACTTCCAGAAAATACAATAGCATACCTAGTTTTCCCACAATTTATTCAGTCTCAGCACTTTGAAATATTTCCAGAGGCCACAAATTAAATCACAAAGATCTTTAAATACTCTTAACATGTGCTTTAAACATTTTTTTTAAGGAGGTCCTTACTCAGTACCTTTTTACTTTAGACACAGTGTTAATAGATAGGATCATTAATAAACTAGAAGAGATTAGAATGATCAGATTAGAAAAGGTGGAAGGTAATTCACAAAATGAGTTATAAGAAATGACAGCTGATAACCTCAATACAAGGGAAACTAGGGGGAAATGATGGAAACAGGCATTGGAATTCAAATGTTTTCCCTCCAAAGCAATCAGAGACTGCTTAATCCACATATTTTTTTGCCCCTGAGACGTAAGTGCATTACAGTAATTGACTATCAAAATAAGGTACCATTTCAAGAAATCTCTATTCCAGAGTATTTGTACATTTTTGCAGGATTCTTTTTTTTTTTTTAATTGTATTTATTTATTTTTATATCATTCTTCGTTTGTTCATTTTTTCATCTTGGTTGTAATCCCCAGGGACTTCCCACCACCAGTTCACCTGTATGCCATCACCATAGTCCATGCACGCTTCCCACCCCAGTTTTGATCCTATCCCCCTCTACAACCCCCGTAAAATGTCTCTGATTTATAGTTGTTCATTGTTTTTCACTTTTTACTTTTTTACAATGCTTACCCTCCTCCCCCCATCCCTTACACTCCTGCTATGATTGAAACCATCCAGTATTTTTCTTTTTCTTTTTCTTTCTTGTCTTATTTCACCAAGCATGATCCCTTCGAGCTCCACCCAGGTTGCTGCAGAAGGCATGAGTTTATCTTTTTTGATTGTTGCTAATATTCCATTGTATGTATGTACCACATCTTTTTAATCCAGTCATCTATTTTTGGGCATTTTGGTTGATTCCACATTTTCCCTATTGTAAATAGAGCAGTAATAAAAATGGGGGTGCAGGTGTCCTTTTGAGTCAGTGTTTTGAGAAAAATAGTGGGATCATATGGAAGCTCCATTTTTAGCAGTTTGAGAAACCTCCAGTTTTCCATAGTGGTTGTACCAGTTTGCATTCCCACCAACATTGTAACAGAGTTCCTTTTTCTCCACATCCTTGCCAACATTTGTTGTTGCTAGTTGTTTTAATATGTGCTATTCTCACTGGGTAAGACGGTATCTCATTGTGGCTTTAATTTGTATTTCCCTTGTTACAAGTGATGTTGAACATTTTTTAATATACCTGTTGGCTGCCTTTTGCAGGATTCTTAAAAGATACTCAAATTTCTTATGATTTCATGATCTATTTTCAGGAAATACATGGTATTTGCAATTTCTCTTTGTAAATTTGTGGTTATTTCTATTAAGTAATTACATGGTATAGCATTTAACTAAAGAGATCTTCAGATTTATTTAGAAAACAGACTCTCAGTTCTACATATATTACCTGTACTTTTTTTCTCCCCCACCTCTGGGAATTTGTGCATGGTTCCTCTCACTTTAGAGGTCAGATAATTTGACTAAGCTATGTCCTCTCATGTGTTACATCTCATTGTTATTATTATTCTTGTAATGAATTTAGATGAATCATTTCCATTGTGAGAAATATTTCTGTCATATTCTCTTTCCTTGCCTTGTTAGATGAGTTTTTGATATTTTGCTAAATCTTCAATACTTCCCTTTCTTTGTTGTATTTTTGATCTTGTTGTCTCTTACCTTTAAGTTCAAGAGATTTCTTTAACTTTTTCTTCTAAACTCTAAATTGGCTCTTTATAAGCTTTAGATGTTTTCTTAGTCTGATATCAGACTAACAAAGGAGAGGGCTGTTTTTCTCACTTTTTTATTTTGGCAAGTATGATTTTGATTTCCAACAACTGTCTTTATTTTTGAGTCATTTTATAGTTTGTGGATGTAACCTTTCCCAGTCTTTGTTTGAATTTCTTGTGCTTTTTGACACTGTATTTAATGCTTTTGGATTAGTTCTATTTGTTCATCTCATTATTCCTAGTTTATATGGTTAAATATCCTGAAGTAGTTGATGATTTGTGGCTGTACAGTCATACTTATAGGAATGGACTGTTTGCATAAGGTTCCTCACAGGCTGTATAGGTCCACTTCCAAAAAGATGTGGTAGGTAGTTTGCATAAGGTTCCTCACAGGCTGTATAGGTCCATTTCCAAAAAGATGTGGACTCCATGCCTAAGACCAGATCTTTTGATACTTAAGATACCCATGAGTGAGAAGGACAGCAAGCAAGCAACCTGGGAACCACCCCAAAAGCCACAATTGTCAAGCATTCTCTTAAAGGTAGTGTAACAGTAAAAATTTGAGATGGAATAATAGATGGGCTTCATTATTAATACACTCAACAGTAACACCTGGCAGCAGGTCTAATAGCTACCAGAATTTAAAAAAATATGATACGTGTTGGCAACATTGGAGCCACCAGCAACAATTCTAAAATTTTGTAGAAAAAAGTGTTATTTCTTTTGATACGCTACTACTGTGGATTGCTTCGAACATGTATATGAAGAAGCTGCTGAATATCAGCTAAGAGATCAATTTTCCCCCTCCCAGTTTGTGCACTCCTTGAATGTTTTCTTCAGACCTCATTTAACATTTCCTGCTTATACAGCAGTCGTAAAACTTGGATTTAAAAACAAACATGCATTTCCCAGTGTAGTACAGGAATACCCTCATGATCTATTCTTGCCTGTTACTTTAACTCACTTTTCATTTTTCCACACCCATGACCATGCTACTTATTCTTTTCACACCTCTTTATGCTTATTTGCTTGCCATGCATTGCAATAGCCTTTAATCCATCCCTAAGTTCCACTAGTGATGTCCTTCATCTTCTTACCCAGACAGGGAGAAGCTTTGCCCAGCCCTTCTCCCTCCTCAGCCTATTATCATTTCCTGTTTACTAGCTAGTCTGTTTGATTGACAAGTTGGCTTTTCAAGAGTAAGTACTTTTAATGTACCTCATTGCCAGTATCAGGAACCTACCACTTAGTGAGTACATACACAGAATATTAATGCATTAAAAATATAACCATGTTGATTGCAAGCTCTGACATCTGCAAGTAAGTGAGCTTTCTCTTCAATATGAAGATGTTTTCCCTTTCATATATTGCATTGTGTTATTGTCTGACCACTTTCAAACTAATTCTCTGATCATTTCTTTCAGATTAATTTTGTCTGCCTTCCATACCCTCACCCACCTATCCACCCTGTCCAGGCCAACAGTATCTTCATACCTTATGGTATGACAATAATTTATCCTTGACTGCATGTTAGTAGCACCTAGAAATTTGATAAACCATATGCTTTGGCCCCACCCCTAGACTGAAGTACTGGTTTGTGCTAAAAGTTACCCAGGTGGTTGTCATGTGAAGCTCTGATTCCAAATTACCAGAGAAAACTTTTGATAAAAATGTTAAAATCATCCTGAAGCTTTCTGAAGATACTGTGATAGCATCAAACATTAGCATAAAGAGAAAAAAAGGAGGAAAGGAATACATTTTGGTGAGGACTTAAACTTTTCACTTGAGGTTTTAGAGTAGAAAATCTTGATATTCATTGCATCTGTATCTTTAAAAAAAAAACAAACCAATACCATATGAAAAACAAGGCATCATAGTGGATAAATTGATAAAGCAAAATGATTATAAACTAATGGACACTCATAGAAAAAATAGGTTTTCTGAGGCAGAGAAGGAGAGTGGAAGGATAAGTGATAAATCAGGTGTGAGGAACAGTTATAGGATAAAAGGAAATTGTTGGAATGGATTTTTCTTCTGAGAAATTAACCTCTGTGTGGCTCAAGGAATTCAGAGCTTTAGCATTTTTAAACAGAGGGAATTGATTTAATTATATGCCCAAAAACCCAATACAAAGGTTGCATGTTGTATGATTCCATTTATATAGCACTTTGAAATGATACAGTTTTAGAATGGAGAACAGACTGAAGGGAGCCAGGGACTAGGTAACAAGTGTGTGGTCACAGAAGGGCGATACAAGGAGGTTCCGCATGCTGATGGAATTATTCAGTGTGTTGTCAGTGACAGTGAATATGGATGTTACGTAGTGATAAAACTGTACCAGGCTAAAGACACGCATATACAAACAGTACATTAGAAGGGGAGAACAAAATATTCATTGCATCTATCTCTTTAAAAAAAAAAAAAAACCAATATCATATGAAAGTGGTAATAAGTGAAAGCAAATTAAATGTGAGAATGTTTTTAAAAAGCCAGTTTAAAAATGAATGGGAAAAAAATGAACAGCACTCAGTTCCTTTGGTTAGAGCCCTCATCTAATGTGGAGAAATGGAGAGCATATCTTTCTTAGAGTTTTTTTTTTTAAGTTGTGGAATATCTATTTCTGTGCTCATCCTTATTTAACTACATGAGAACTGATACTGGGTTCTTTTTCAAATACTGTCCAGTGCAAGTAGAAAGAGCACTGGAGCCAAAGACCTAAGTTCTGGCTTCAAATTTAAATTTTGCACTCTGACCTTAGACATGTCACAAAATGAATAGAACCTGCTCTTTTTTTTAAGAGAAGCATTATTAACAAGTTTCCTTCACTTGGTAGTGAAGAACAAATGGGATTTGATTTGTGACTAGAATTCACAAACTGTTCAGGTAAATCAAGTAATTGCTATGATTTCTCTCTAGAATTCATATATCCTTTGCCTTTTGTTTTTCAATAACTCTCCCTCAAGCTTGCAACCCTCTACCTTTTCTGAGAATGTTCTCAATTCATTTCTCTGCTTCCCTACAAAGATGCCTTTCCTGGCATGATCTCATGTTGAATCTGCAGTACGAATCTTAGGGTGTGCATGTGTGTGTGAGCCCAGGAGAGGATATCTGCATAGTGCTCTCTAACCCGCATGTCCTTTCTACTTCTGTAGGGGAAACCCAAGAAGAAGCTTATTGACAGGAAGAACACGGTAACTGATTTTGCAAGTTGAGAAATTCTTTCCATGCGCACAATGTATGACCATGGGACTTAGCATGATACTTTACATAACGACTTTCAATTAGACTCAGCTTGAATAATAACATAGAATGTTTTTATTGAAACATTACTCTATGGCAGTTTCCCACAAACTTAGTTTTGTTTTTTTAATGACTTACAGGTATATCATTTCAATTGATGATAATAGTTCTCTTGTTTGGCCATGTGACAGAGACCAAAGCATTAATGAGGTTTGAACATTACTTTCATGTGGATGCAAAGAAGAGGCTGCATTTTCACCTCTCTGTACATGGGGTATTCAGCGCTCTGTTTTACAGGGTTGAACAGATCTGTTTTCAGTTTGCCATGGAACTAAAAGTGTGCAAAGTGTACACTTCAATCTGGCAGAGGAGAGAAATGACTTAGAAGATGAGCCGAAAGGACTTTGCCCACCTCAAAATCACAACCACAACTGTAACCTAAAAACAAAGCCATGCAATTGGCCATAGAGAGCTTGAGATGTTCCATATGTCCACTTTGTTTGTACCTCTTTAAAATAACAAATGATGATGAGGAGAAAGAGATCTTCTATATCTAGCTTTTTGTTTTACATATTAGTATTAAGATAAACTAACATCCAAATCCTTTAAAGCACAAATCTGATTTTTCATTAAAGATTGAAAAGGGTATGTCATTTACTTAAGGGAAAACTGAGAGAAATTGAGTTTGTAACCTGTTTCCAAATGTATGTCCCAGTAAGTTTTCTCTAGTCTTTGTTTTTTTTTTTGTTTTTTTTTTTGTTTTTTAAATATTTATTTATGCATACAGAACTGGGGTACAGGCCAGAGGAGCAGGGGTGTTGAGAGGATTCACCACAGACAGAGTGGAGAACAGAACAGGCCAACTGATGGAGTACACTGCTTAAGGGAGCAGCAGGCGGGTCAGGAGAGGTCTGCCGTGCCATGTGATCACCTCTGGGGCCGGGGATCAAACTTATACTGAAATGGCTTTAGCTTAGTGCTGTGCTTTAACCCGCTGCACCACCAGGGTGGGCCAGTCTTCTCTAGTCTTTAATCAAGAAATATGTTTTCAGAGTATAATGCTGTCAGTTCCGAAATTAGAAAAAATTCTTAAAAATATTTCAAGATCATGCATTTCTGTCTCTTCATTTTAGGACACTCATTGTATAGTGCCACCAGTAGGAATGTTTTGGTGGCTTAGAGGTATAAGCCAATGAAATTTGATATCGATGGATCATTTGCTGGAGCATGAAATTGTTTTAATGTATTTAAAGGGATTAAAATCATGCACAGTATGTCCTTTGATCAAAATGAAATTAGCAGTCAGTAAGTAGAAAGCATTTGGGAGAGAATATATTTCTAATTCAACACATTTCATAATCCATGGGTCAAGGAAGAAATTGCAAAAGAAATCAGAAAATATTTTGAACTGAATGATAATGCATTTTAGTGTACTATCAGGTAAAGTAGTGCTTTGGAGGGAAATTTATAGCTTCTAATACTTGAAAAGAAAGACTAAAATCAGTTATCTAACATCCCCTTGTAAGAAGTTAGCAGAAATAAAAGAGTAACTCAGAGAAAATAGAACAGAGGAAATAATATTGTATAGAAATCAATTAAAGACAAACAATAAAAACATCCAGAGTTTTTTTCATTGGTAAGTGAATAGAATTGATAAGCTCTTAGGTGGAAAGCAGAGAGCAGCAATTGACCACTACTGGTAGGAAAGTGGAGGCACATCAGAACAACCGTGTTCCACTACTGTGACAACTTAGATAAAATGTCAGTGTTCTTTAGTGGGAGGAAACACAAAACTGACACAAGAACTAGAAAATTTTAAAAGGCCTCTCACTATCTAGGAAATTAGATTAAATCAGAAAAATAAAAAGCCTTCCTATAAAGAAAACTCTGGGTCCAGTAGTTTTACTGTTGAATTTTATCAAGCATTTGAAGAAGTCTAGTAGCAATATTACACGAACCGTCAAAAATACAGAAAGGAATACTTTCTATTGGTCTTATAGTGCCAGTATTAATATAACACCCTAACCTGACAGAGACATTATTTTTAAAGCAGAAAGTCAGAGACTAATGTGTTCATGAACAGCAATGCAAAATTTCTTAAAAAAGAGTATTAACCTGGGCCCTCCCTGGTGGTGCAGCAGGCTAAAGCACAGCACTCAGATGATAAAGCCACTTCAGCATGAGTTTGATCTCCACCCTGGAGGTGATCCACATGGCACGGCAGACCTCTCCTGAACCACCCAGTGCTCCCCTCAGCAGTGTAGTTCATCAGTCGGCCTGTTCTGCTCCCCACTCTGTCTCTGGTGAATCCTCTCACTGCCCCTGGACCCCTGGCCTGTACCCCAGCTCTGTATGCATAAATATATAAATTTTTTTTAAAAAAATGTAATCCCATTGAGTCTTCCAGTATGTAAGGACAATAGATATGATTGAGGTTTTTCCCCAATCATACAAGGTTGATTAACACTTGAAAATTAGCCATTATGATTCATTACATTAACAAAGAAGAAAAAAAATCTCCTGATCATTTCACTAGATGCAAAAAAAAGCATGAAATTCAATATTTTTTTTTTTAAGATTTATTTATTTGTGCATATAGAACTGGGGTACAGGCCAGAAGCTCAGGGGCGGTGAGAGGCTTCACCAGAGACAGAGTGGGGAGCAGAACAGGCAGACAAAGTACACTGCTGAGGGGAGCAGCGGGCGGGTCAGGAGAGGTCTGCCACACCATGTGGTCACCTCTGGGGCAGGCGGGAATTGAACTCAGAACTCATGCGGAAGTGGCTTTAGATTCTCAGTGCTGTGCTTTAACCCGCTGCACCACCAGGGAGGGCCGAAATTCAATATATTTGTGAGGAAAAACACTTAGCAAATCAGGAATAGAAATAAACTTCCTCAGTGAGACAAAGGCCTTTTATTAAAGAGCCTATCACTTGCCACAGGTGATTTGGTGATGGAAGCCCACGGGGATTACAACTGAGATGGAAAAAGGTACAAAATGATGTAAAAATAAACTATGATGTTATTTAAATAAATAAATAGACAATAGGGGAAAAAAAAACTATCACTAAGGTCTTGCTTAGTGGTGAAATATTGAAGACTTTCCCCCAGTGATTAACATTTATATTCAGTTTGTACTAGAAGTCCTAGAAAGTAAAAACAAGGAGGGGGGAGTGGTGTGGAGAAAAAGGAAAAAAAAATGACACATAGGAAGAAGTAAAATGTCATTATTCTTGCATGTTGTGTCATGTTAGTTGAAAATCCTAAGGTAATCTATTTACAGAATAATTACAAGAACATAATTGTACGTAGCAAATTATTGGAACACAATACTAAACCTATTGTATTTCAATATGTTAAACAATTCAAAAGTAAAATTTTAAGTTATACTTAAAATAGCATTTGAAAAAAATACGAAATTGTTAGGGGTAAATTTAACAAAACCTGTTCAATACCTGTAGAATAAAAACTATTAAATATGATGAAAAGATTAAGGAAGCTCTTAATAAACTGAGAAATATGCCATATTCATGGATTAGAATACTTAACTATTGTCAAGATGCAAAGATTCAGTGCAGTCCCAGTCATCATAGTAGTTTTTTTTTGGGTAGAAATTAATCATTTCCGCTTTCTGGTGGTGCAAAAAGTAAAGAACAGTACTATGAAGCTAGCTGCAGCTACTTCAACACCAATTTGATTGCCAGCCAGGGAGGTGACCTATATGGCATGACAGACTTCTCCTGTCGTGCCCACTGCTCCCCTCAGTCTGCCTGTTCTGCTCCCCACTGTCCCCAGTGAATACTCTCCCTGCCCCTGCACCTGCGGCCTGTACCCCCATTTATGTATGCATAAATAAATAAATCAGTTTTTAAAAAAAGAAATTGTTTCCCCCTCACTCCTCAATTTATATGAAAATGCAAAGGACTTAGAGTATACAGAGTAATCTTGAAAAAGACTTGGTGTACCTAACTTAAAGAAGTACTGTAATGCTATCGTACTCACATTGTGGCAAATTGCTCAGTAGAACAGAAAAGAGAACCCAGAAATGAGACCCACATCTGATTTTCAACAAAAGGCCCAAAGTAATTCATTGGGGAGAGGACACTTAAACAAATGGGGTTGTAGACCATGTTTTAAAAAAATTAATCTCAACCCTTATCTCTCATAGAAATTAGAGATGTTCCTAGATACAGTACCTATTATTGTAAGCTTCTTGAGGAAAATACTTTGTAATTGTAGGCTTAGCAAAATTTTGTATACACAGAAACAAAAGGGAAAAAGTTATAGGCTGGATATCCTCAAAATTACAAACTTTTGATCTTAACATAAGATAGTTATATAAGATACTGTTAAGAAAATGTCTAGACATAAACAATTAAGATATTCATCAATATCTTATGTATCAGTGTACTGGTATCAGGAAAATAAAATAGATTCCTAATAGTAAAAAGACAATCAACCCACATACAAATGGGTAAAATATTTGAGCTACCACTTCAAAAGGAATAACCAGTATGCTCATGAAAATGTGTTCAACAGTAATAGTTATCAGAGTTGCAAATTAAAAGGAAATGCCGCTAAATATCCAACAGAATGTATAAAATTACATCTGATCACACTGTATACTTTAACTATAATTTTGTTAATTATAATTCATAAAGGTGGGGGGGAAAGAATGATAATACCAAATGTTGGTGAGACTGTGGAACAAATAGGAACTCAGATTCTGATTTCATCTTTGTTGACTAAACAAATACTTTAGAAAAAGTCAGTTAGAAAGCCTAGCAAATTTCACCAAGATCTTTACCCAATAAAAGTGAAAACAACCGCAAGACAGCATGTACAAAAATGATCATAGTAGTTTTATTTATAGTATTCCCGAACCAGAAACAGCCGATGAGTTTAACAACAAAAGATTAGGTCTTTCATATAGTGGATTAATCTTCAGCAATAAGAGAAGGGATAAAAACATGCATGAATCGCAAAAACATGCTAAATGATAGACAGGAGAAGAATTGCTACCATGTGATTCCTTTTAGAACCGGCAAAGCTAACATGTAGGAAAAAATTGAGGACAGTGACTTCTACTAGGCGCATGAGGGAGGGTTCCTGGGAAAAGGCATGAGAACACACTTAGCGGATAATGATGTTAGAGTTGGTGTTATATATAGTTCTAGGCATTTGTCCAAACTCGTCAGATGGATATTTAATATCTAGGGTTTCACTGTATGAGTTTCTAGCTCAGCAAAAAAGCAATCTTCTCTGTCCCCAATCCAAAAATCCTAAAAACAAATACTGAACCCTTGATAGTAGTGATGTGCATGTTGAAGTGTTTAGTAGAGAATTTGTGCACAAATTTGAAAAAATAAAATTGACATGGAATTATTTTTAAAAATGAAATGCTTTAAAAATAATGGATTGATGGATGGATAGAAAGGCATATTAATGAAACATACAGTAAAATATTGTAGAAACTAGATGATGGGCATGTGGATGTTTACAGTTCTTATACTTTTTAAGTATTTTTCATAATAAAATGTTGGAAAAAGAAGATGGGATAAATGTAACTTAAAGGTACTACAATTTATTTATAGGAAGTTCAGTTGTTTATAAGAAAATGTTTATGGTGTCTCAGCTATGTGATGGGCAATCTTAAGAGCATCACTGACCCAGTGATTAGCCAAGCTAGCATGACCTCTCATAGAACTATAAATCTTTTCTATTAGATTCACTTTCTTAGTATTCCCTACCTCCATCCCTTGTATTAATTAGGATTTATCTATGTGTACAGAGTTTCTCCAAGCTTATAATCATTTTAAAATATTAGGCTTATATTCTTTAATTGGCTGAAAATAATTGCACAAATATGTACAATCACACACGTGTGCATGTGTATGTGTGTGTCAGGGAAAGTTCATCTGTGGGACTACGATAAGTGACTTTGACTATTTATAGTTTATTACCCTGTTTCCTGTTTCTGCCCCTAGTGTCAGAACTTTCCCTGTTCTTGGCTCCATATCCTGCTCCAGAGAAAAGCCTCCAAAAGATTTAGTGTCCAGTCCATTTACCCAGGAATCCCTAAAAATCCTAAACAGGCCAAAAGATAGAACCTTTCCATCAGATCCGGAGAGTGAGGATGACTTCTTCTTCTTCTTTTTTTTTTTTTTTTTTTTAACCTCAGCAGCAATATGGCTTAGTTCAAGAGAGATTTTAGAGCCAACCAGTTAGGTTGAGTATCCAGAGCTGGCTGCCTGCTTTCCACACTAAAATGGAAAACTTATTTTCTGACCTAATGACTAAGAGCCCTCTCTCTCTTTTCTTGACCTCATTTTCTTTGTTTGCTCTCTGCTTGGCTTGGTCCTTGTCGAAACTGGCCCTATTAGCTTCTCTAACTTGTTACTTATCTTGAATGAGTAATGTGTTGCTGTCTTCCTCTCCCCCCTCCATTTCCCGTTAACAACCTGATTGAATTTGGCCTTGCCCTACCTACATCTTTTTCCTTGCCTTGTATATGCCCCTGATGCCAACTCCTGATCTGTACTCAACACCGGGAGAGTCCCTACCTCTCCCCACTTCCTCTTATAGCAAAGTAGGCTCTGTGGGGAGTTATATTCATATTGGAATACTTGAGATTAGGTGTGTCTTTAGGTCTTGGTAACCGTTCACTAGGACAATTCCTTTGTGAGTCTCAGTCAGTTCTGTTACCATCTTCACAGGAATGAGCCATTCCTCCCCTCATTTCAACCTCTACTAAATCTATATTTATTAAATGTTTATGCATTCAAGAGAATGTTTGTATAATTCTGAATAAGTGAGAATGAATAGCAATAAAAGAGATCTCTACCTACTACCCAGCTTAAGAATTACCATATTACCTGTTATCTCTCGGTCATTCTTAAGGTATCAAATGTTTGGTGGCACTGGATGAACAGTGTAATAGTCAGCTCAGTGCTTAAAAATGCTGATGCATTGCCTTCAGATATATTTCTGTTCAAACATTTAACAAATTCAGATAAGCCTTTAAGTGACGCTTTAATATAGATTCCAACATTCCCATTTATCTGTCAGACTTTTTTAATTCACTAGAGTTACCACCTGCAGTCTGTCACCATTACAGAATTTTGTCGAGCTTAACCTTGAAAAACTAGAGAACTTTCTGAAGGCTGTAGCTGCTGTATTGTTTTTCCCTAGACTGGCTGCTGATGGAGCACAGGAACTGAAAGTGGAAAGTATGAATTCAAAAGCCAAGCTGCATGCTGCTCTTTATGAGAGAAAGCTCCTGTCTTTGGAAGTGCGAAAACGTAGACGGCGGAGTGGCAGATTGAGAGCAATGAGACCGAAATACCCAGGTACCTGCTGGTGAGCTTTCACCAAACTCTGTTATCTATGTCCTGTCAGACTGGTTCACTAGCTTCTGTAATTAATGCTTAATGTCAGAACCCACTTGGTCACATTTACTTAATTTTTTTTTTTTTTGTATAGTTCTTACCCCTGAAACTTACTTTCAAAAGGACTGTAAATTTTAAACCTTCCATTCTATAATGTTTGTATTGAATAACTAAGAAATATACATTTTGGGCTTTGCTCTTAACCCAGTGTCATGTATTTCAGAAATGATGTTAACTTAAGTTTAATGGAGTCCTGAACATTATTATTCAGGCGTTTCCTAGTAAATTTATTAAGTTCACTTCACCCTTTAACATTGCATTGGCCTAAGTATTTTAAACATGAACAAAGGGGAATTTTTTCTCTCTCAAATTCTCCCATGGCTTAACTCTCTCATTGACTGATTTTCTTCCTTTTTTTTCCCTCTCCTTTCCTTTTTTGTCGAGCCTCTATGTTGGGTATATTAGTCACTGTTGAATTAAAAAAAGATATGGTTCTTGTATTGTTCAATTCCAAGACAAGAAGGAATACAATGAATAGTCATAAGTAGAAAGCTACTCCCTGCTCTTTGTATCTCAGTGAAAACTCCCTTTCTGAAAACCTCTGACATCCTGTAGAGATTACTAAGCTGCCCCCTGCTTTCCCTTAGGAGAGAGCCCTAGGCATTGTCATGAGAAATATGACCCACCTTTGATGGGTTTTTAGAATATATTAGAGTGGAGGGTGTCATTTGGTTTTGGTAGTTTTGTGTCTATAATCTGATCTAAAATGGGATTTTATGAAAAAAAGGAAGGTATTGGGAGAGAGGAAAATTTAATCCTTTTTTCAGCAACATTAGTGATTCTTCGCATTTAGTGATTACCCAACCAGCTGAAATGAATGTTAAAACTGAGACAGAGAGTGAAGAGGAGGAAGAAGTTGCATTAGACAACGAAGATGAAGAACAGGAAGCTTCCCAGGAAGAGTCTGCAGGGTCTCTTGGAGAAAATCAAGGCAAATATACACGCTCATTGTCTGTTATGGTAGAAAATTCACCTAAAGAAAATGCCATGAAAGTTTCGGAGTGGAGTAATAAAGGGGACCAGTGCTCCAAAATTGAGTCTCATGAATCAGAGCCCAAATTTAACCTGATGCAGATCCTGCAAGATAATGGCAATCTCAGGTATGTACATCTTGTTATTATACACAGTAAAGCTGATAATAGCTGTCTCTTAACTGTCTGCCAGGTACTTTGCTAGTGGCGTTACAGCTACTTATTTACAAGAGTCCTGTGAAAGTAATGATTGTGACAGGATACACTCTTAAGGAAACTGAGCCTTAGAAAACTTACCTGTTCAAGGTATAGAGTCATAATACAATCCAGCTCTAAGTGGCGCAACAGGTATTTATTGGACTTTAGTGTCAGTCGTCAAGAACACAAGCTGACCGAGACAGGGAGTGCAGAACAACTCAGTTTAGTATAGGACATTTGGAGCACTGGAGCTATGGCTCCAGCATGGATCAAGTGTGAGTAGTATGGCTGGCCTTGCTTGGGAGGGCTAGCAAGACATGAGGGAGAACCAGGGCTTGACTAATGGTAGGATTTCCAGAGATTTTCAAGGTGGCAGTCAAGTCTAGGAGGCTGGTGTAGAGAATACAGGCCCAGAGAAGTGAGAACACAGTCATGCCTTCAGCCCCTCATCAAATGCTAATCACAAGCTCTGTGCCAGGAATTGTGTTTGGCTATATATTGTTACAGCTGGGTCATTATATTGTCTCAGTCAGCACATGCTAGTGGAGCTTATTGTCTAGTGGGGAAGGTGGACAGTAAACAAAGAAACCAGGAAATTTTAGGAAATAAGAAATGCTGTGGAAACAATAAAACTGTGTCACATAAAGAAAAAAAAATGGGCAGAGGATTGTGGTGTTCAGGCATGAAGAAGTAGGTGAGGTAAGTTCTGAATGATGAAAAAAATATGAATATCTGGGAGCAGAACAGTAAGTACAAAAACCTTGAAATTGGAATGAGCATGGTGTATTTGAGAAATACAGATTCGTATGGTAGAGTTAACTAGGAGGAAAGGGAGCAGTGAGAAATGAGACTAAAAAAAAATGTGTGTCATTTGATCACAAAGGACTTGAAAGGAGTCTGTACTTTAGTTCTGTGTGGATCATTTTCAAGTAGATGAATGATATGGTCAGATCTTGATGCAGAAAGTAAATTCTGTTAACACAGTGCCAGAGTGACTGAAAAGAGGAGAAAGTAAAATCAGAGACCTGAGTTAGGGACTGTTGTAATAGTCCAGAGCTAGGAAGGTGAAGGCTTTGATCAGAACAATGACTATTGTGCTGGAGAGATCGGGGTAGACTGAATGAAATTTGCGAAGCAAAATTGACAGCCTTGGTATCTGATTCAGTGTACGAATGTCAAAGACTGAATTTCCCTAATTTTCAACTTGGTGATGCTCTCAGTCAACATAAGAAGCATTGGAATTGGTTTCATGATTAAATTGTACTTCATTTGGGACTCAGAGAGGTAGAACCCTATGGGATGAAAATACTCAGTTGATAGGTGGAAATACAGCCTTGAATGTCAGGAATCGGCAGGACTGTACAGTTGATAAATAAAAGCTTAAGTGTAGATGAGCTTGTCCAATCTGATTTAGTTCAGCAAGCACAGACAAGGAGAAAAGGAAGAGAATTGAACCTTAGGAAATGTAATGATTAACAGGAAAGAGACCAACAAATAGCGTAAGAGAGGTGGCCGTAAAACTGGGAGGGAGCCATGCATGTGGGAGAAGCTACAAGAGGAGTGACTGAAGAGAGAGCGCCTCAGTCAAAGCAAGGTGGGGTGAGGGGTAAGGAGAAAGAAGAGGATCTTGCATTTGTGACCTAGGAAGGACTTACTGCATGGAAGAGAAACTGTGAGTTGAGCAAATGAGCAAGTTATTTTTTCAGGGTTTTACAATGAAAGGGCAGTGAGAATGCATCAGAAGAGCAAGAAAGTATTTTTCTGTTAAGAAAAGGATTCTGGAACCTACTTATAGACTAGGGGAGGGATTTGACAGAAAGTAGACTAGAGAGGTAGAAACTGATATGTAGATAGAGAAGTGTCTTGAAGGAAGCTGGAACCTGGCTAGTGGGAGGGTATCTCTTCTAACAACTCGGAAAGGTAGCACCATCAGAGAAATGGCAGTAAAAAGCAAGGAAACTAATTCATGTACAGTGGGTTTTATTTCCTAAATTAGAGGTTAGTTCTTCCACTGCAGTGGGTAGCCTTGGTATTTGGAGGGACAGAGTTAAATTTGGAACAGTATGGTGAAGAAGGAGAATTGCTGCCTTGTGGAGAGAGCACACTGGCCTTTTCTGTGCTTGCCATTCGGCTCTCCCATCATGGTCACATTAAGAGCTTCTCTATGCCTCAGTTTCCTTACCTGTTAGACAAGCGTTTTTCAGTCTGTTTTCTGGAAGGGAGAAATCCCACTGCATTGAAATAAAGCACTTACAAGAAACTAAACTATATTCTGAGATTCTTCCTAGCAACAACATTCTACTTAACTATTGTAAAAATAACGCATTTCTATATCAATCTCATGGTTGTCATTTTCAGAGTGTAAACTGCTTGTAATTGCAGGGTGTGTTAATGTAAATCAGATTGTGTTGTCTGGATCTGCACATCATTCTGTGGGGGCATCTCACGGGTAACTAGAGTATCTGAGGAAAGTCCACCACAAATGAGGATTTGAAATTACAAGGCCCAGCCTCCTACTTACATATTTTGAAAATCCACATAAGCCTTATTTGTTTAAAAAAAAAAAGTTTCTTAAATATAACTCATTCTAATTTTTATTCTTTCATCTTTTTCTTTCTTAAATGATTGATTGATGCGTACAAGAACTAGGGTATGGGCCAGAGGTGTGTGTGTAGGGGTGTGAAAAGATTCACCAGAGACAGAATGGGGAGCAGAACAGGTGGATCTACTGAAATGCACTGCTGAGGGGAGCAGCAGACAAGACAGGAGAGGTCTGCTGCGCCATGTGGGTCAGCTCCCTGGCAGGGGCTAGAACTTATGCTGCAGTAATTTCACAGGGCTTAGACTTTAACCTTTGCACCACCAGGGAGGCCCCTTTCATCTTTTTGTTCCTTTGTTGCTAATGAGAAGTCAAACAGCATGTCCAGTACCTTAGGTACAATCTCAGAATTACTATCCCAAGTAACTTTTTAGTAAAAGTCATAGAAGTAAAAAACGCAGTACTTATTCACTTGATTTATAACTAAACAGTGATTGAAATCTCACCTTAAGGCAATAATTCCCTCATCCCAAAGATTTTCATATTTTAGCATCAGAAGCTTAATAATAAAATTGGGTATTTTGCTATATTTGGAGATGTCTGAGACATGCCTAAGCTCATTTTACCATTCTGTCCTCCACCATTCCCATTAATTTTACTTCCATAATAAATTGCTTACATGTTAAAGTAAATAAAAAAGATTTTTAATTTTGGTCAACTACGTGATATATGGTTTCCAGGCGAACAATCGTCCCTATTCAGAAATATTTGAAAATATATTATTTCAAAATCATAAAAATTCTAGTGTCCTATAAGCTATCCCTACTAGTAACAGAGATGTTACTGAAACTCCTAGGTATTAAACTTCTCAAAGTAAATTTCCCCAACCTAACTCCCATTCCCTCCAGACCCCCCAACATATAGAAGCTAGACCTCAACCTGCTTAGGATTTCCAGTATATTACAGACATATCTTTCATCCTAACCTTGGAGGTACAAGTGAGTAGAAATTCAGTGATTGCATGTGTGAGGATTGTAAACAGAGTTTGTGTTGGGCCCTAATCTACGCTGATGTCATTTGGCCAGAGTATCCGAAGGCCGATCAGCTGAAGTAACCTAAATCTCTCCTGAAAGAAGACAGATCTGCTGCAATTAGTAGCTGAAGTGAAAATTATCAATGTCTTTCTGATAGTTCTGTCTTAATCAGATTTCCCTGGTTCTAACCTAGACCTCCAGGCAGAACTCAGCTGGGTTCTTCAGTGATGTCGCCGAGCTGCTTTTTACTATATATAAGGATTTCTTTTCCCTGCGGAACATCTGGGCTCGTCCTAGCCCATTAGTTCATTTCTGCCAAACTCTGTTGGACTTCACTCATTTGTTCTGGGCTCTGACCATTCCTGTCTTGTAGTTTAAAAAAAAAAAAAGCATGATCTTAAACTTTGGTTTCAAAAGGTCCTTGGTAGGATTTATCTGTTTCCTGCTGTGGAGACTTTTGTATATAGAAATATTAGTTGCCATAGCAAAAGCCATACATTGTGCAAGCTGGTAAGTATGTTTGTAAGGGCTTTCAAGACAGAAAAGAAGCTTCTCTACAGTTGATACATACGTTGTTGTAAAGATTCAATACTTTTGACTGCCCGCCCCATCCCAAGAAAGTTGTTTAAAAGTTGAAAGAGATTAGGTATAAGAATAGGAAACTTAATTTCCTATTCTTGTTTGACTTTCTCCCCCCATGGTAATAATGAGAAAATAAACAGAATTCTCTGTATCTGATTATTTTCATAGGAAAAAAACCTCACATACTGCTTAGAAGTTATTCAGTGACTATGATGGGCTGCTCTTTTCTTAGCCATTCGATGAAAAGATTCTCAAAGGCCACTTTGAGACCTGTGGGTACGCATTTGGTAGGGTAACCATTCTGTCCCATAATGGTATGTTGTTTTGATTTCTCTAGCAAAGTGCAGGCCCGGGTAGCATTCTCTGCCTATCTCCAGCATGTTCAGATTCGCTTGATGAAAGACAGCGGAGGGCAAACCTTCAGCGCCAGTTGGGCTGCCAAAGAGGATGAACAGATGGTGAGACTCTTCTTGTTGGAGATTTTTACTTTCCCTTTTTCTTTTCTTTATTTTTCTGTTAGGGTAAAGTGCAATATTTTCTGCCAATTAAAGAATCACCATGTAATATATTTTATAGATTTCTCTTTAACGTGAATTCATTTTTTATCTGGAGCCATGTTTATCACATGTGGCATCACAGTCATTCTGAAAATGGAAACGCAGAGAATAAAAAAGAACTGAGTTTTTCTCGGGCAGTTACACATTTGATTAACTCTGAGGTAGGCACTATCTGCATTTTACAGATGATACCTAGAGAAGGGAAGTCACTTCTCCGTTTTCCCACACTTTTGGTGACAGTGAAATGCGAACCTAGATGTTACAGTTGTGCCTTTTTTGTGCTTTCATTGTTTCCAGGTGTCATAAGACATTTTCTGTCTTGAACGGTGGAGTGGGGAGCAGAACACACAGACCCACTGAAATACACTGCTGAGGGGAGCAGTGTGTAAGCCTCTTCACGGGCTGTTTAACCCTAGGGATGGGTGACCTGAAAGAGAGGAACTTTTAAGACTGAAAAACTACTCCTTTGCTCAAGTCAGTGATGACCCTACCCTCCTCCACATACAAGAAGCATACAGTATGCCAGACTGCTTATGAAAACATGATGGATATCCCAGAAAACAACTCATGAATTTAAAGTAGCCAATCCAAGCCAGAGATAAAACCTTAAGTGTTGTGAAAAATATTTCAACCATCAGTGGAAAATGTTAGCTCTTCTTTTTCCAAGTGGAAAATTGAAACTGCCTTTTTGAGAGTCAGTGTGTCTACTCCAATGTGAAAAAATAATGTTTTAATATAACAGCTGAAGCTACCCTGTAGTACAGACAGCAGAGTAGAACTGTGAAATCCAGCCCTCTGGTTATGAGGCTGTTCCCTTATGCTGTTGTAAATTGACAGTAAGACAATGCACCACAATCCAATTCAAGAAGGGGAAAAAGCTTAGAAAAGAATCTGCTGCAACTGCCGACTTGGAATCCACACACAATTTTTATGGGGCTTTTTACAAGAATATGTAGAGTCATTACTCAGTATGAGCATGCCTTTTTGAGAATATATTTAGAAGTAAACTCTACCCCATTACCTGACAATCACGGCAATGCTGTAGCTCATGAGGAGTGGAAAGGTTGAATTGCCTTCTCTAGTTCATGCTAGAGTTGAGATTCTTTATCACATAACACAGAGCACACATCATGGAAGGTCTACTGAACACTGTAACTGTAATTTTATTGCATTGATGGGTGTGGGTGAACAGCTAAGGACCTTGGTTTTAAAAATCTCACTTTGAAGCATTTTTGATGTTTTGAAATGATGTGACTGGTGTCCAGATTTCAGTCCTTTGCCCTACCTTAAGTGAGACATATTTCTTTCTTTCTCTTAATAACTTTTCTGCTGTTCCCTCCCAGTTCTGAAAGCTGCCTAAGCCCTGAGAAGGGGGTAGAGGGAAGGTATTACCTTTCAACATAGGCATAGTTTTTTTAAAAATGTGTAGTCTCGGCCCTCCCTGGTGACGCAGCGGGTTAAAGCACAGCACTGAGAATCTAAAGCCCCTTCCGCATGAGTTCGAATCCCACCTGCCCCGGAGGTGACCCTCAGCAGTGTACTTTGTCGATCTGCCTGTTCTGCTCCCCACTCTGCCTCTGGTGAAGCCTCTCACTGCCCCTGAGCCTCTGGCCTGTACTCCAGTTCTGTGTGCACAAATAAATAAATCTTTAAAAAAAAAAAGTGTAGACTCTACTGTTTACAGATAGTGTTCATTATCCATGCATTTCTCAACCACTTCCTTCTACAGAACTTTTAGAAGCTTTTGACATGGGACCCTTGGAGGTGACCCTGGGTTTCCATGATGTTCTTTGCTCTGGAGTTTCCTTCCACTTCGTTTGGTTCTGCATGTATTGTGGTTTTATTGTTTCTTTTCCCCCTCATCTTTCTTTTCTCTCTGTTTGAAGATATCCATATTCTTTCTTTGTCTTCTCACTTTTGATGACTTTATCTGCCCTGTGTTTTCAGTTTCCACCACCTATCCTTGTTTGCTGTTTTCTTAATATCTTTCTCTAGTCACCCTATTAGAAGTGATATTTGTACTTTGAATGATTATGATTCTATTTATATGTGAATTATAGTAGTGTCACAGTACTACTGCTACTATTTTATTACATAATTATTTGCATACATTATTGATTTTCTGAATGCCACCTGAGTGAAGGAGGAAAATGTTTCCTTTATTTTGTTTCTCTCTGCCCTTCTTATACCTCACATGTTTGCTCTGGGTCTTCTTTGTTGAAATGTAGAATTTTTACATCCCTGTTGTATGTAATGTTTTCATAGCTTCTCTTCGGTTACTTACCATAATCCCTGCATTTTTTCCCCAATGACTCTCATTTATAGGAGCTAGTGGTCCGTTTTCTCAAACGAGCATCAAGTAACCTCCAGCACTCACTGAAGATGGTATTACCCAGTCGACGATTAGCACTTCTGGAACGCAGAAGAATTCTGGCCCACCAACTGGGTGACTTTATCATTGTGTATAATAAGGTAGGTGGTTTTTCTACCAGCCTTGTGTTTCAGATGACCACAGAGTGTGAGAAACAGACTACAAACTTTGTCCAGTTGGGTGAAGGGGTCTGCCTTCCATTTTTCTAGCATTCTCTGTGTTTTTACTATTTAAGGGAGCACAAAGTCACACCCTCAGACTAAAAAGCTGCTGACTACTTCTGAAAGTCCAGTGGCCATATTTAACCCATATCCAAAGGCATATTTTGTTTTGACAGTGGCATTAACGACTCCTAGGTTATTTGAACTTACGTTGTCATATTGTATCTTTAGATGGTGGTAGGTTAACTATTTGAGAGCAGTGACATACTGTCTTTCTTGAAGAAGTTCTTTTATACTTTGTTTTCTAAAACATGTTGTGTAACTTATTTTCCAACTAAGCCCAGAAATATACTATTTAATTAGTAAATTTTGTAAGGCGTCTTATATCCAAGACTTTGAGAATGCTTTAGGAAAATCATTTGGGGGGAGGAAGGAGAATGGTTAATTTGTAGAAGGGAAAGTTCACCTGGGAAATTTAGATAGCTTTTCTGAAGAACTGTGGAATGTTTAATAGATTGTGAGCACACCAAATCCATAGCCAATAAGGTATTCTACAATGCCCTATAGGGTATCTTCCAAGAACTATCTTTCTTCTCCCCAGTTATAACAAAGTACAGTATCTCCGTTGCCACATCATTAAAGCTGCAAATGTGATCACAGACATGACCGAGCTACTATGACAAACTATATTATCAAAGGGCTATGGGAGTAAATAAAGAAAAATTTACATCTGTAACTTTACTTAGAAATTCCAAAGTATTTCATGAAATACTGGTAGAAAGTAATATATGAAATGTCTAAGTGACAGAAACAATTGGAGGCATTAAATGTCTACTATAAAGTTAGATTATCCCAAAGGTCCTGACATTGGATGATAAAGTGCATTTATCAGGCATCAGTGTTATCATGTTTTTCTCTGGGGGTTGGGGGCTGGATAGGAAACAGAACAAATGGCTGAAAAGAAATTGAAGAAGAAGCTTGAGGAAGAAGAAGAGGATGGAGTAAATTCGGAAAACTTTCAGGAGTTCATCAGACGAGCAAGGTAAAAGATTTTAATTAACACTGGTATTCTGTCTTCCACATAGTCCTACTGAATTTCAGCATTCCCTTGTCTCTACCATATGGATGTGAGTGAAGTCACTTTTAGGAGGAGAAAAAGAGTTTCATAGACTTGGCCTCGCCATATCTTAGCCAATTATGTTCCTGTTGTCATGGCTTCAGTTATCAAAACACTGCTCCTGGGTATCTGGGCTGTATTTCTAGACAGGCTTCAAAGTTACACCACTCGAAGCACTGAGAGGGACCTTGGAAAGTTGAAGCTAGAGGCTTCTAGTGTTTACTGGGTCTGAATTTATCCCTGACTAGCTGATGCAGTGATGACCAAATTTTGCCTAGGTTGAGTGGGTTGAGGAATTGGCAGTTTCTCAGCACTGTGAGGGTTACGCCTAATTTATATAAAATAGAGCAAGTTCTTCATGCTTACGGATAGCTGTTGAGAACTGAAAGATCTCAGTAAACAGCTCTTTATCTTTATACAAATCAGCAAAGCCTTTTTGTCTACTTTCAAAGGAAGAAGTAATGAAGACATATAATTTCAAATTTTGTAAGACTCATACTAGATGGCCTTTCTCTAAAATAGAGTTGTACGAAACTAAAGGAAAAAGGATAAAACATCTGTATGCCTCCGTTACTAAGGCTGCAGCCATCAAAGTAACATTAGAGTAACAGTAAACAGTTAGAAAATCAACTTTCTATTCATTTGTGAACTTGGGTGGTGTCTGTATTTGCTGCCCTGTTGCCTACTAACTAGAGTCTCTCGTCATGAGCTTAAACACACACAGCAAGCAATCCCTCATTTTACAGGGTTTCTTAATGTGTAATGCCACTCGGTTGATATTCTTTGGTCTGGTGTGTATGATTGATTAATAAAGCAGGTAAAGAAATCCAGCAAGAAACATTTTCTCTTATCATCATTATAAAATAAGGAAGAAAATGATAAAAATAGAAATAATTATATCATTATAAAAATAGAAAAGAAAATAACTAGATAATATTCAGAAAATGGCTCCACTTTTGAAGTTCAAAGATTAATTTCTAGTTCCTCCTAGGGATCTTCAGAATTCCTAAAATTGGGGGAAAAAAAACTTAAAAAAAAAAAAGATGTGTATTTCTCCACTCAGGCCTAAGTGGCTACTAAAAATGAGTTATATATACTCTTAACTAATGATACAGACCTGGAGATAGCACATTCACTACGGGAACATTTAGTACTGATTTTGAATTGTTGGAGTCTGTTACTGACTGTTAGAAAGATATATTAGTGCCAATTTTTCTTTTATTATTTGGGTTGTGCATGGATACCTTTGTCATTATGGTAAATCTAAGTACCTCCAGGAGTGAAACAGAGTATGAAGTGAGCAGAGGATAGGACAGGAGGGATAAGGCAGCTTATATTTTGACCAAGCTTTTACTTAGTCTTTTGCTTTTTTATTTAGTTGTGTGAAGGGCCCGCACAGCGCAGAGGCAGGCTGCGGTGCCCCACTTCTTCGTATCTCCGACAGTCGCTTAGGTGCTTACCTTGCGGCGCTTCACCACTGTAGAGACTGAGGGTTACTCTGAGATTCCTGGCAACAGCTTCCTAGATTCTTATCACGGAGTGTGCTGAAGATGGGGTAATACAGGGATACTAACTTGAAGGCCACTGATCTGGAACAGACCAGCTGAGATCTCCCACATGTCATAGAATCCATGCACAATATGTTTGCTGAAAGAATCCTATAAGCACTCATTCGTTCTCTCATACTTTCCATTTTGTGGATGTTCATAAAGAGCATATAATTTTGATAATTTGAAGTGATCATCAAGAAGATCTAGTTCAGTCTCCCTAATTTTACAGATGGTTAGGAACTCTTCTATGGTTACCCTGGTAGGTCTCCTTATTTCTGAACATAGTAATTACAGTAAGTGTTTCCTACTGTGTAAAAGTGGGGTGGCCAAACTGTAAAGGTCCGGATAGTAAATATTTCAGGCTCTGTGGGCTACATGCAGTCTTTGCAGCATATTTTAAAAATACATAAAAACCTTTCTTAGCTGGGAGCCAGATCCAAGACAGACTGCTAGTTGGGTTTGGCCCACTGCCTGCAGGATGATGATTACTGATCTAGAACATGACAGTCCAATAGAACTTCCTGTGTTGTAGGACTGAGAGTATAAAAATGAGGCTAGCGTAACTGAAGAGAAGAATCTTTGAATTTATTTAATTTTAATTCATTTAAGTTTGAATAGTCACATATGATTGGTGGTTACCATATTGTAAGGTAATAATCTGGCAAATTTCACTGTAGAATGAATAATGCCTTATTGTATTTAATTTTTTACATTGCTGCATTTAGACTCATATTTAGCCATCTCTTAATAGGAAGTTTTCAGTTTATGTCTTTCATTTCCCTTTCTTTAATTCTTACTCCATTTCCATAATAAAATCTGGTGAAAGATTTTCCAGAACAGCTTCCTGTTCTCACCATACTTTCTCTCCTCATTTTAGTGAGGCTGAACTGGAGGAGGTATTGACTTTTTATACCCAAAAAAACAAGTCTGCAAGTGTCTTCTTGGGGACTCACTCAAAAAGTTCAAAAAACAGCAGCAGCTACTCTGATAGTGGGGCAAAGGGTGGTAAGTATGCTGGTTAATTAATAAAAAATAAGAACAAGTACAGACTTGAGCTCTGCAAAGGAAAACTAGGAATAAAGTGCTACATAAGCACTAGACACTCCAAGGTGGTGAAATTTTGCAGTGTGGGAATGGGGGATGAGCAGGCATGACTTTTTTGTTGTAAAAGCAGAAGGGGGACATGGTCTGATTTTTTTCAAAATAATTAGTAGCAGAGAACCTTCTGAGACCAGCTAATAACAGCCACATTCACTGAGCATTCATATTACTATCTGCCAGACGTGATCTTATTTTTTACTTCCAAAAAACATATGGAATGGGTACTATTTTAAATTTCTTTACAGATGAGAAAACAGAATCTGAAAGAGACAGAGTAACTTACTTGAGGGTGTCCTTCACCTGGCAGTGGGATAGTAATTTGAACCTCACATTGCCTGACTGAGGCTTGTGCTCTACAGCTCTGTTTTTCTGTCTCTTCTAACGATTACTGCTCGTTCTTGCTAAAAATTTTCTTTCTCTAGCTCAATGCCTTTGCCATGTTAGCTAGGAGAATGTCATGTGGGACCTTCCCGTACCTAGTGGGATGTCTAGACCTGGGCCCTAAATGCCATTAGCTTCCTTCAGTCACTGTGATAACCCGGGATGCTCTCGTTATTACAAATGTTCTCACTGCTAGGGATCTTCATGATCTTTGCCTTTGGAATTGATACAGAATCGATGATCCAGTTCATGTCACCTGATTAAAAAATAGTGGTAATATTGTTATAAACACAGCTCTGTGCTTTAAGTGTAACATTCATTTAAAATCTAAATGATGACTAAGAAATAGGTAATCAATACACTGATTTTGTTAATGTGCTAAAACACTATTTTCAAAGGTGGAAACTTCTTTCCTGTTCTTAAAGCTTTTATAGCCTACTGTGAAAGTTGCCAGGAAAATTGGTCATTTAAGTTACAGAATACGTTTCCCCAAAAGTGCTAATGTCTTAAAAACTGATTAGGTTTTAGTCCACAAAAGCCTATTTAGCTCACTGTGTAATTAATTTATTGTATTATTAGAATTCCTTCTGACTCCAGCCCTCTTCTTTGCACTTTCCTTATTTACCTAAGTTCTGAAGCTAGTCTGTTTGCCTGTTCATTCCTTCCTTCTACATATATTTGCTGAGCACCTATTATGTGTCAGACATTTTGATAGGGAAGCAATAACTAGGACTTTTATAGTCATTCATTTCATAACATTTATTGTTTAGTTGATGATGAATTGGGTGAGTCAATACCAGAAGAATATGAGTGCGAGCTCTGAGAAGCTCCTGTGATGTGTGGGGCAGGTTCCTATTATGAGGTGGGATAAGCAATCGTGCACTGACCCAGGAAGGTGAGGGTCTTTTTGTCCTTAAGATCACTTCTCTCTTGGCAGTAGTGAGAAGCCCTAACAGCATTATACTGGCAGCAGCACCTGTTTGTACAGATGGACCTTAAAAATTCTGGGGTTCATCTGCTAGGGACTGCCTTCAGTAAGCTACAGCAAGAATATCTAGAGGAGCCATTCTTGGCTGAAGGAAACAGCTTTATGACATTCGATAGACTCTGGACTCATTTCAAACATGAGCTAACAAGTCTGTGACAGAATTATCACTGCTGGTATAGAGAATGCACATCTCCATATTCTTTCATTCTGAAAGATGATCCGAGTGACCTCTAAGTTTTTGAGACAAGTTTTGGAATATTTCCCTAAGTATAAAATTAGCTCTAGCTGTTCTTTTTCAAAATTGTGTGATAATTTATTAGATTAGAACTTCTGTTTCCTTGAGTGATTGTATTTTTTGAATGTGCTGCTTAACTTATTTCAAGTCAATTCACACAACTTTTTTAACTAAAATGGAGGATTCTGAAAATCCAGAGCTGTGGCCTGCAGGTGCCACGTACTGGGCTGCTCTTTCTTTCTGCGTTAGTAGCCTGCTTAGGGCATATGACTTGCTTGCTCTTTGGGCAAGAAAGCGCCAGTGAGCTTGGTCGCTCAGTCCCCTTAGTCTGAATTCTTGGCAGAGGGGTCTGACTGCCCTTACTTTTATTTCTAGGCATGTTCTGGCTTGTTGACAGTCTATGAATGACTGGCATGGGTTTAAGTAGCTTTCCCTGGGTGAGTTTGCTGGAGCAGGAGTTGGGGAAGAGTCGGAATCATTTGGTTGGTGGCCCACCCAGCTGCCGATGGAGGGGGGCCCCTTGGAAAAGCGTGGTAAGATCTGCAGTGGTTCCAAGCATTGATTGCGAGTGGTGTCGTATTTTGGAAATGAAATATACCCTAGCACTTGATTCGTAGGAGAACCTAAGTTCAGTTTTATTTCTTGTTTCAGATCATCCTGAGACGATGGAAGAAGTTAAAATAAAACAGCCTAGACAACACCAGGCAACAGAAATTCACTCTGATAAATTATCTCGTGAGTGACTTCAAAAATAGACAGATTTACTGCTCTCTGATAAATCCCTAACAGGAAAAGGAAGTCACCAACTGTTAATGACTCTTAAGCATGAGACATTACCCTAGTGAAGTACCTTTTCTTTGTTCTTCCATCTCCCTTAGAATTCTCTTCTTACCTACTGGTATCCTATTTTTCTTTGAAGGAATTTTTCACTTTCTTAGTGTTTAGAGCTACTGAGCACTTTCCTTTTTCCTAGAAGGCTGAAAGCTGTCACTGCTAAAAACTTTATCCTGCTGCCCTTATGTTTGTTAAATATCTGCTCTGGTTGGTAGAGCTAGTCCCAACTCTAGCTTTTAGAAAGGACTAAAAATAAGCTATTTCTGTTGTTGAGATTTTCTCGGCAGGCAAAATTCATTTAATTCATGATGTATACTCACTAAAGTGTCTATTTCTCATGATTTTTGTTTCATGCTAAAATTATTTTGATGTTTAAAATGTTTATCTCTTATTTTATAGAGATTGTCAATGTTCTCTAAAATGATGTGTTTTTTTGTTTGTTTGTTTTTGTTTTAATAGGATTTACCACTTCAGCAGAAAAAGAGGCTAAATTAGTCTATACAAATTCTTCCTCTGCTTCTTTCTCTGGTCCTGCTGCTGTACTTCTGCAGAAAATTCCCAACACCCATTTGTCGTCTATTATTTCAACCTCTGACCTCTCCCCAGGGCCTGGCCACCATTCTTCTTTATCTCAGATTCCTCCAGTTATTCCCAGCATGCCTCACCAGCCAACAGTTTTACTGAACACGGTCCCTGACAGTGCTTCTCCCTCCATACATCTTGGGACACAGAACGTACCAAGCCCCGCTGGCCTGCCACGCTGTCGATCAGGCAGTTACACCATTGGCCCCTTTTCCTCTTACCAAAGTGCTGTACACATCTATAGCCAGAAACTGTCTCGTCCCTCTTCAGCAAAGGCAGGTGAGTGAGAAAATGAAAGACAGCCCTCAAGGTCAGCTCCTCCCCAGCCTCCAAGCAAAAATATGTCATCTCTTCCCTTTGCCTTTTCTTTTGAAAGGTGAAGGGACACACGCTGCATTATTCTGAGATCACTAGGAAACAGTCTTGCATTTGGCCTACTAGCATTCATGCATTGCTGCACAATGAAAGAGGACTTCTGTTAGGTACCAGAGATGAAGAGATTAATAACACAAAACTTCTGTTTGCTAGGAGCTTACGTCTAGTTGAGACTGCCCTGACCTGCTAGCTGCATTCTTTCTGACTTGAGTAGTTATTCATGACATCAGACAAATTAGTATTTTTAAGTTTTTCAGTGTATTAAAGTCAAGCATGACCTGAGTAAATAACCAAAGAATTCTTAAAATTGGGTATCTAATTTTAAATGAAGTAGACCCACATTATTGATCAAGGTCTTCCCCCTTTTTGAAATAACAGCTTTATTGAATTGTAATTCACATACCATAATGTCACCACTTTAAAGTATACAAATCATTGGTATTAGGTCGTTCAGAGTTTTGCAACCAATACCACTATTTTATTTGAGAATGTTTTCATAATTCTAAATGCAACCCTTTCTGATTAGCAGTCACTATCCATTTCCTCCTCTCACCACTGGCAACCACTAAACTACTTTCTGTCTTTATAGATGTGCCTATTCTGAATATTTCATTGAGAGGAATCGTACAATTGATGATCTTTTGAATGACTTCTTTTACTTACCATAATGTTTTCAAGATTCATCTATGTAGCATCATTTATAAGTACTTCAGTCCTTCCGGCTAAATAATAATCCATTGGCTAGATACACCACGTTTTCTTTATCCATTTATTGGTTGGTGGACATTTGGGTTGTGTTCACTTTTTGGCTGTTAGGAATAATGTTGCTGTGAACACCTGTGTACAAGTTTTTTTGTAGACCTGCTTTCATTTCTCTTGGATGTATATACATGGGAGTGGCATTTCTGGGTCCTGTGATACCTTTATGGTTCCTCTCTTTAAGGAACTTCCAAACTTTCCTGTCATAGCTATACCATTTCCCCACCAGCAAAGTATGAACTTCTAGTTTCTCCTTATCCTTGTCAACACTTATAGTCTGTCTTCTTGATTTTACTCATTCTAGTAGGTTCAAAGAAGTATCTCATTTTTGGAGTTATCGTTTACATTTCCAATAATGACTAATAATATTGGATATCTTTTCACCTGCTTTTTGGCCATCTGTATACCTTCCTTAGTAACATTCTTTGCACATTTTAAAGCTGTGATATTTGTCTTTTTATTGTGGACTTGTAAAGACTCTTTATATTTTCTAGATCCAAGTCCCTTATCAGATGTGTGACTTAGAAATGTTTTCTTTCATTCTGTTGGTTGTGTTTCCATTTTTGTCAAGCACAGAAGTTTTTAATTTTGACAAAATTTAATGTATCTTTTCTTCTGTTGCTTATGTTTTGTTATCCTATCTGAAGTACTGTTGCCTAACTCGAGGTCAACGGTTTTATATATATGTTGTTTTTTTTTTTTTTTTAAAGTATAGTTTAGGCTCTTATGTGTTGAGATACTATGTTATGAAACCATAAATTTATCACGTGACCCAGCAGTTCCACTTGTAGGTACATACCCCGAATCGCTTACCCACTTTGAGTTTATGTTGGTGTGAAGTGTAGCATAAAGGCCTCACATCATTCTTTTGCATTCAGCTACTCAGTTATCCTAGCACTGTTTGTTGAAAGAGTATTATTTTCCTGTTGAATTGTCTTGGCACTCTTGCAAAAAAATCATTTAATCCTAAATGAAAGGTTTTATTTCTGGAGCCTCAGTTCTGTTCCGCTGATCTACATGACTGTCCTTTTGCCAGTACCATGTTGTCTTCATTATCGTAGCATTGTATTCAGTTTTGAAATCACCAAGGGTAATTCTTCCAACTGTGTTCTTCTTTTTCATAGTGTTTAGGCTGTTCTGGGTCCTTTGCATTTTTATATAGATTTTAGGATCAACTTGTCGATTTTTACAATAGGTAGATGGAATTTTCATATGGATTGTGTTGAATTCGTATATTATTTTGAGGGATATCTTAACATTGGCCAAGTTTTTAAATTACTATAATGATTTACATATTAAGGTGAGTTACAGCTAAAGTAATTTTGTTGTTGTTGTTCATTAAGATTAACAAATTATAGGATTGTTTATTCCCCAGGCATATCATGAAAATTCTTTATGAAGTTTTCATTGCAAACAAAAACATTAACATATGCTTGTAACAATTTGGCAGTAGAGAGAGTCTGTATGATAAGGATTTATTTTTATTTTTGAGAACATTTGGAGATGTTATTGTTCCTTTTATTGTCAGATATTCCTAAATTATCCAGTAAATTAGTGATATTTTGTCAACTGAAATGTCTCTGTCATTTAAGTGTTTCAGGGCTTTTTCCCTAAATGGGTGAAAGCTTCTCTCTTTTCTAGCAGGTTCATGCCACCTAAACAAGCCACATTCAGGAGTAGCCAAAACACAAAAGGAAGGAGAAGATGGACCTTTGTACAGCAGACGGTACAACCCGACTATGGTGACTGCTGAGCTGCAGCGGCTAGCCGAGAAGCAGGCGGCGAGGCAGTATTCGCCATCCACTCACATCAGTCTCCTCACCCAGCAGGTATGGAGGAGCGGGTACCCCAGAACCCTGGGCACCTGAGACAGGCTTCATGACAGGGTATCCCTTCTTTGTCACTCTTTACTATTCCCATATAATGCCGCCTTTTAAATGAGCATTGGTTTCTAGCCAGACGAAAATGTTCCTCTTCAGCTTTAAAGACAATGAGTTTCTATTATAGGTATTGCAAACTTAACTCTGCTGTTGGCTCTTAGGTATTTACTGCATAGATAAACAGACATAAATATTCAGCCACAAGTCTGCTTTTGAAGGTTCTCTTAAAAATAACTTCTTTCTTTGGTATAGTTTTTCAGAGAGTTTTACTCTTTTGTTTGAATCAGAATTCTGTAACACTGTCTTTTTGTTTGTTTTTATTTTTGTTGTCAGACATTCCTAGGGTTCAGGAAATTATTGATACTTTTGACTGAAATGTCTTTAATTTTATGATCTCAGGATGTTTTGTGGGTACCAGTTAATGAAGTATTTCAGTACATCCTTATCTAATACACCCTTAATGTATTGATGAAGGAAACTGAGGTTGAAAGACATAATGTGATCAAGGTCATCCAGCAACCTAATGGAATGGAATTAGATTCCAGGATTTTTACTTTAATTCATCCTGTCATCTATCTCTGTCAACCTAAAATAATGAACTTGCAACACATACAAAAAAAAATGCTTGATGCATCCTTCAAGAACTTTGGGATTCTTTTATCTTTCTTGCTGACTATCCCCATGGTACCTCACTGGAAATAGAAGCTATTATCTTCTTCTTTTACTTAATGCAAAATGGCCTCAAAATTCTCCAAAAGGATTATTATAATTTAACTGTATGGTTATATTTTTGCTATGTGTCTGTTGTGTCAGAATTCAGTAATTGTTGGCAACTCTTTAATGATAGTCTAGGAGAAAAGTAAATCTGAAAATTCCTTCAAGCACACGTTAAAAGTAGGCAACACACTGCTCCCCGTTGGTGCCCCACTTCTCTGTGTGAAAGTTAGGCCCACTCTAAAGGTCAGCCTTAACTGTACTCCAGCCTCATCCACTTCGTGAGGTTGTAATTAATTTGTTTTTCAAATTCCTAATAGTTGGAAGAAAGTAAATGAGGAGGCTTAGAGTGACATAGGAAGCTAACAATCTTACAGGGGTAGTGTTGAAACTTGAAGGGGTGTGGATGGTTACAATTTAGGAGTAGGATAATGGGAAGAGGCAGTGAATCCCATGGCCACATTGAAATGGGCAGGAAGTATGAATTGTGAAGGAGCTTTGAGGAAGGGTAAGGACTAGTGAGCTGCTATACTTTCATTGTTGGGTCATTGACTAGAGTTGATATTTCTAATGTATAAATGAGCAGTTAGGAGAAGCACCAAGATATTAAGAAATTTCTTTACAATAATTGTAAAAAAAAAAAAAAAGCTAATAGTAGTATTGACATATTTCAAAATGACCCAATCCTGTGGGAATCCAGGCTAATTATATCCCAGGTGGGAAGTCATCCCTCTTTAAACATCTCTTTATCAGTGCTGGTGAATTAAAAGTCCATCAGGGGCCCTCCCTGTGGCACAGCAGGTTAAAGCAGAGCACTAAGAAGCTTAAGCCACTTCCACATGAGTTTGATCCCCACCTGCCCCGGAGGAGATCCACATGGTGTGGCAGACCCCTCCTACCCGCCCAGTGCTCCCCTCAGCAGTGTACTTCATCGATCTGCCTGTTCTGCTCCCCACTCTGTCTCTGGTGGGTCCTCTCAGCCTCCACATCTCTGGCCTGTACCCCAGTTCTGTATGAATAAATAAATAAATCTTTAAAATAATCAGTCCATCAGACTCCTATTCATGGGGATCTGAACTTGCCATTAGATGTCAGTCTTAACTCTCAGAGTCTTGGTACATTGCTGAGGTGTAGTGTATAATAAGCAGGGTGGAGCAGTGGAAAGAACTGGGTTAGCCATCTAAGACTTGCCTGCCTTTGCCTTTGCCCAGCTGTGTGATCTTGTGCAATTCACTGAACCGCTCTCAACCTGAGATTCTTTTCTTTTGTGGGGGGGGGTTACAACAGTATCATGAGTATAATATGCAAAAACCTCTTTGTAATATCTAAATGCCATGTACATGGAAAATATTATTTCAACCACAAATGACTTCCAATAATAAATGCTTTCTAATTTGATTTGGAAAAGAAAGCTTTTGGAGGCAGTGATGCAGTGTCTGTGGCTCTGTGGTAAGAGGTGGACATCTGAACAGAAAGTGGTAGAGTTAGTTCTGCGCCTCACGTTAGTTCTGCCCCTCTCTGTGGACATGAAGCAAGAATCTTCCTCAGAAACAGCTCTATTCCCAGTAATCTCTCTACATGCTTTCGATTTCTTTTTACTCGTGACATTCCTTTATTGGTAATTCCTGTTTGGTGTTTCTGATCTGTTTTTTCTTATATCCAGTAGCCTTAATGAATATTTTCTTTCCACCTGCTCTTTTTTTTTGATAATTCTGGATTTTTTATTCTGTTGTATTCTAGTTGGCTCTTTTTTTTCCTTTAAATCTTTGTTAACTTACTTTTTTTTGTTTTGTTGTTTCCCTCCATTTCTTGAGTTGGGTACTTTTTATTTTCATTATTTTTGCTTTTTTTTAAAAAACTATTAATTTTCTCTGAGTACTGCTTTACTTATTTTCCATAAACACATATCTTTTTTTTTTTTTATTTGTACATACAGAACTGGGGTACAGGCCAGAGGCTCAGGGGTGGTGAGAGGCTTCACCAGAGACAGAGTGGGGAGCAGAACAGGCAGATCGACGAAGTACACTGCTGAGGGGAGCAGCGGACGGGTCAGGAGAGTTCTGCCACGCCATGCGGTCACCTCCGGGGCAGGTGGGAATCGAACTCATGCGGAAGTGGCTTTAGCTTCTCAGTACAGTGCTTTAACCCGCTGCGCCACCAGGAAGGGCCTAAACACACATCTTTATCTTGTTTTTCTGAGGGAGGAACTAAATAAAGATAACTGAATTTAATTTTTAATATTTTGTGTGGCTTTTTTTTTAAAGACACAGTAAACAAGTGGAAATCTTTGGGTATTTCTGAAAGATCATTTTATTTTTAACTTAAGCTTCTTACCCATTAGGCCTTTCAGTGGCATTCCCCATAAAACTTTTTGTTTGCATGTGTTTTTTTTTTTTTTTAATTTTTCATCCAAAGACATTTAAAAAGAGCTTAAAAAGCTCAAGTGTCTTGGGTTTTGGCTCTATGTCAAAAAGACATAGTCCTCAGTTTACAACAGCTCACACTCTGGTAAGGGTGACATGTAAACAACACGTGGGGGTACCAGCTTGTAAAACACGTGGCGGAGCCATTTCTGAAGAGTGCTAGAAGCACCAGAAGTCTACCTCATCCAGTCTAGGAGTGCAAGGGGGAAAGAGCCACGGCATCCTTCCTCGAAGAGATTACACCTAAACTGAATCTTAAAGGTGGGTGGCCGAAGGGCCAGGCAGGCTCCCTGATACAAACTAGCTTGTGTGTCTGTGGGAACACCACCTGGCTGGTGGTATTGGCTGACAGGGAGCTGGCAGGGAGCAGCTCAGGTGGAAGCTGGGCGAGAAGATGGGCTGATGCAGGAGGCCTGAGAATGCCCGTGAAAGAACTCACCCTTCAGCTATAAGTGAAGGGAGCCAAAGAGACACAAGTAGGCTTTGCCCTTCAGCTGGATTACTCAGGTATTTGATAGGAGAGTAGCCTGGAGAATGAGCTACTGTCACCCTGTTTTCTTCTTGGCTCACTGGGAAGATGCTGAGGAATGGCAAACTAGCCTAAAGTAAAGAGCTAAGTACTCTGACCACTCCAAAAGTTGATGATAAAATTTTGTCGTACCCAGAATTAGCCTCTAATGCTCTCATGGATTTGCATAGTTAAAAATAGAGCCTCCTTCACTGGTAACTACTTTTACTATATGTACCATGATTTAATTTTACAGTTTAAAGGCCAAGCTACACAAGAATATCAAACATGAAGTGGCCACCGTGGTCACTTCAGAAATGTTTGTGCCAGCATCTGTGTGCTTAAAACACAAGTTCTGAACATAGCCAACAAATATCTTACAGATCCGAGCAGAGAGCAGGTCAGTTTTAATACTTTCCATGGGTGTATGAGAGGCAGTTCTCTTTTGAGCATGAAATCCTTTGGATATCAGTGTGTACATCCCTGAGAAGCAGGGTTTTCTGAAGTATCTTTCACCTGGCTGGGGGCGGTGAAAGGGGTCCTCAGGCGCACTGTGGTAGCTGATGAGCTGCTGGAATGGAGCGGGGCTTCAGAGTGTGAGGCCTCACTCTGCCTCACAGGATGCTGGGAGAGGTGTGCTTCACAGCTGCAGCACTCTGCACAGCCATAGCCCCTGGTGGGTTTTGAAACTGTTAATGAACAGAAGAATGTGGTGAATTAGCCCAGTTTTGTGGTGAGGAGTGGGAGGCAGGGAATCAGAGAGAGCACTGGCCCGCCTGTGCGGGCGAGTGTGAGATTTCAGGACCCAGCTATCATTAGGAGCAGCCCCAGCTCTTCAAGCCTGGGAGTTTAATCAAAGGGATAACAGCAGACCACCCAGGCGAGGGATCCAGCCTGAACCAATGTGCTGTGTCAGTCTCTGTTTCCCAGCCAGCCAGTGCCCGGGATGTGGCCAGGCCTCCTGGAAATGTGCTGACAGATACTTATGAGGGAGGAGACACAGCTTCTCACATTTTTCATTTAGATGGAGAGTGGAAAAGAAAACCATTCAGTTTCTTTCATTTTCTGCTCCTCACGCTGATAACCTCCTGCCTAGTCCTAGAAAAGGATATACATGTAGGGCTAGAACATTCGCTGCATACCCGTTACTCATGTGCTCTCATCCATATACCTAGGAATTCATTATCACTTTTCTGCTTCAGTGGCTACCATTGTAGTCATGCTAATTTCCTTACATCCGTAATAGACCTTGAGCAATTCTCAAAAACAAAAATCACAGTATGAAGGTGAACTTGACAAAGGGA